CTATTAAAAAAAATCATCAGCACCACGTAAGTGAAAAAACAGGAGTTTCACTCTAACATCCTCCTCGGACTCTCAAACTCCTGTCAGTTCATCACAGCTGAAGAGTGTCTGATTCAATTTAGTTTAGATTTTTCTCCTGTAGTTTTAAGATGGAATGCTATTACAAGACTGAATTTTCACTGAAGGTATTTGGAGCTCTTTTGGTGACCTTTGGTGGTATGTTTTCAATAGAAACAGTAGAAAAGTGATTAAAAAAAGAAAGGAAAATAAAAGTACTCTATTTAAAAATCTAATTCGATGTGCTCTGGCTACTAAAAAAGTGATTTTGAGAAAGTTTTCGTCATATTTCTGTTTGAATAATTCGGAAAAATGTTGAATTTAAAAAAAGAAATCAACAAAAGGTTGGCCCTTCATTACGCTTTTGACTTTTCTTCTTAGTTAAACAAAAAACAATAAATCACCTTACAGTTTAGATGGAAACTAAAAAACTGACAAAAATCATTTAAAACTTGTTTTTGTTTGTTTTAATCTTTTTAAAGAAAAATATCAGCACAAAAAAGCTCAAAGTGCTGCACAACGCGGTTTCTTTCGTCTGTTTTGTATTAATCTAAAATGATACGACAAAGTATTGCAGTTTTTTTCTTCCTCCAAGCTAAGCTAATATCCTCTCAGCTTCATATGAAACTCTCAGACATCTGAGTGATTTTATTCTTTTCATCTTGCCGTCCGTCAGAAGCTGAACATCTGTGTGTGTTTGTTAAATCATTTTAAAAGTCAAGTTGGAAGAGACATGGTGCATTTTACCAAAGAACAGAAACAAAGACAAAACGCACACTTTTTCRTCTTGCAACACGGTCATTAGTTCTAACTAACCTTTAAAGAAATCATGTTTTATTCATTAGCTTAGTGTAGAAGAAGAAACAAACCTGTACTTAGGAGGAATACTACTTTACAGTGGTAGAAAAAAACAACTCTGTTTTTAATTTGTAGTGGAAAAGTCCTGCGAGTTTAAAGGTAYTTGGAAAAATTCAAATAAAGAATAACTTTACTAGGAAAGTGGAAAAAACACTAAAAAATATTTCCTAAAAAAAGATCTGCAGTGATGAACACCACTGGACAAAGTCTTTAACTTTATGAAGACAGACGGCGCTCATGAGACCATGATCACACGGAAACATCGTTTTACAAACCATCCTTTGTTTTGTCATTTCTAAAAATATCCACTTTGCAGAAATGTTTTTATGATGTAGTAACTATGCCAGGCCTGTGGGTGGCGCTGTAGCGCTGCTGCAACAATATACCAGGAAACAAGACGTGCAGTGTTTCTGAACTGCAAACACAAGTTACAAACAGAGGATGACGAAACAAAAATTTTTTTTTTGTTGCAATACGCGGCATATAAAGAAAAAAAATTAAAACTATTACATCTCAAATTTTAATGCTCACAGCAGTGATTCGTTGATATGGATCCAAGACAAAAATCAATTTACGGAAAAAACAAAGCAGCAGAAAACTAAACCAAGTGAATGATGGTGGAAAAACTCTAATTTGTGAAAACTGGAATGTATCAAACRCAGAAAGCTTTTACATATAACACGAATCACATACGTCCTAATTTCCCAGACAAATGGGTTGTTTTAACTCTAGTCTGAGAAACACAGATAAATGACAATATTGCATCTTTTTTTTTTCTTACTATATCTCTTTGGTCCATCTTCGAGGCAGAAGGAGAGAGTAAGAGTAGCGTCCTCCTCAAAAAACTCGGTAGCGAAAGCGTCCCACCACAAACTGTCACTTTCCTGTCAGAGAAGAAGAGAAAACCAGTCAATATCAGGACACATTTTAAAGAATAAAAAAGGTAATCAACAATAAATGAACAGCATTAAATACGTGATGCATGTTATTAAAAATGTCTGATTCCTGCAGCTCTGGCAGAATCGTGGTGAATGTTTGCCTCGTTGCAGATTTGTTTTTCACCACGCTAAGCTAATATCCTCTCGGCTCCAGCTTCATATGAAACTCGGAGTGATTTTATTCTTTTCATTTCGCTGTCAGTCACACGGAGAACATCTGTWTGTATTTGTCAAATCATTTTTATGCAAGTTTCAGAAGACAGGGTTCTGTATTTTAGAGCAGTGGTTCCCAAACTTGGGGTAGGGACCCTTTTGTGGGTCACAAAAAATCAAGTGACGGTCCCCAGATGATTTCTAGACATGCAGCTAAATTATCAATGCAATATTTTCTCCATAATATTACAAAAAAGTAAATATAATCATAAATGAATAAAATAAATATTAGGTTTGCTTGGATTTTTATTATGCCCATGTTTAAAAGAGTTATTAGCAAAGTTTGCCAACATAAACAAGTAATATCTGCGGTCCTGAGTGCCTGCAACTGTTAGTTTGTGGGCTAGAAGCTAAAAGGTTCRGAAATCACTGCTTTAGAGTATAACATCAAAGGATTTTGCTTGATAATCTGAGATTATTTGATCATCTGTCATAGTTTTCAGCTTCAAACTAGTTTTGAAGACAATGTTTTTATTTATTAGCTTGGTGAACAGAAACACAACCTGCAGAGAGACTAGACTCTGCTGGAGAAAGTTGCAATTATTTTGTAGCATTGTTTCTTACATTCAACAAACTAAACAGATGCTTCAAATTAAAATGTCCACTTGTTAGAAGTACAAACTTGTTCCAGTTACAGCTAGTATTAAACAAAAACTCAAATTTAAAACATTTCTACCTTCTTCTTCTTTTTTTTTTACATATAAACACTGTTCTACATTTTACTTTTTATCTTAAGGGTCAGAAATAATCTATAAATGAAGTTTCTCTAGGCCCCAAATTGTAGAAACTGTCAGTCATATGAATGTATCTGCATTTTACATGCACTTTATGGTGCTCATTTGATGCAACTGGTAAAAAAAAAAATAATAATAATAATAATAATAATAATAATAATAAAATGTGTGGCCATGCATTACATCTCATGACCACTAGTTAACACATGACCATGAGATGAATAATGCGTGGCTATGAGAGATAAATTAAAGAAGTCATGTCTCTTTGTGAAAGATAGAGACATTGTTGGAGATTATTTTTGAATATGTTGTTTTTGTGTTTAACAGTTGCCACACTTGTTATTTTTATTTATTTATTTATTTTTTGTCGTGTATGTTTAAGCTTAACGGTTCATCTTTCATAGTATTTACGAGATGACAATGAATGCCCTAACCCCAAATTTACACTTGATGCGGTTTCGCGACTTGTCTGATCTGACCTCCTCAGCAAATACACAGCCATTATAATCAATGAGAGTATTTACACAGGCTCCGCACAGTAGCAATCCACCAAAATTAGATTCGATCCTATTTTTGCCGGACGCCCGAGCTGCGTCGGAGTCAATCTACAGAGATCCCATCAAACCAACAGGAAAAGAAACAAACACAACATCCATATTTTCAAAATAATTCACCAGAGGCAGAMTAATTTTGTCGAATTGCCAGCTATATTAACAAATATGTGCATATATTTCTACACAAATACTGTCAAAATGTATCGTTCTGTTTGGGAAGCAGATGGCAACTTGTAGCGTGCAGCTTATGATACACGGGGATTTTATTTTGAAATCAGAACTTTCAAACAGGAAACTGGAGTCTGTCTTCCACAGAATGAATTATTTAGCTCTGACTTCCACATTTATCACTGGATTTATCGTGCTAGCTTCCTGCACGCACTTCTCAGACCTCCTCTGTGCTTCACGTCTGAGCGGACCGGAGTGGACCGGAGTGGACAGAAGTGGACCGTTGGATGTATAAATTGGGGTGCAAACGAACGGCGACGAACTGAGCAGAGCGGAACCACATCTAGTGTAAACTATGGGTAAGTCTGTGTCGGGAAACAGATTTTTAATTGTGTTCCTGAACGCAGTAACTCCAGCTCCTCCTGTAGCAGAGCCTTGGTGTGAGAAATACACCAGTTTTAAGTGTTGAGCTTCAAATAAATAAATAAATAAATAATGAAAATAAAGCTTTTTGGACAAATACAGTTCCAGTAGTCACCTGAGTCCAACTGCAAGTGACTGAACAGTATATAATTCATTCCTATGTTAAATTAAAATTAAATGACTTCAAACTTATTAACAATCAACAGTCTCTGCATGGAAATGACTGCAATAAATATATTGTGGCCACAAGTTATTATCTTGTGGCCACAAGTTATCTTTTTTAATTATTATTATTATTTTTGTTGTTTTTTTATCCTATGTTACCAGATGGGTTTAATGTTTTAGTAAAAATGAAATCAAAAATTATGTTTCAGTGGTAAAATGACACTATGTAGTGAGAAAGCCCTTAAAAACCTGAAATTAAATCCTTAAAGCTCAGTTTAAAGACGGGTCTTGTACCGGTCAGAGCAGTTTTTGTCTGAAGCAGAAGCCTTACGACACCCGTTACTTCTCCCTTAAGCCTGGACTTTGGAAGAGCCTCGCCTGAGGTTCCTACACGTCTGAAACACCAGCTGATGCTCAGCAGTTTTATAATTCCCCCGTCTTACTAAAGCAACTGCAGCTGGGTTTTACTTAGACATAAGCTAGAACCCAACTGCTTTTTTTTATGGGCTTTATTCTTTTATGAATTTCTCTAATTTCCTGTACAACAAAGTAAATGTATCACTTGAGTTAAATCATTGAAGGTCACAGGTTAAATGTGAGCATTTTTAGTAAAATTAATAGATGTAGAGAAGTTGTAGAGGTAATAAAAGCCATGCACTACATAGAATAAATAACTGTTAGAATAATACTGTTACYTGAAATAGTGCTATTTTTATAGCTAGCAGTTAAGGCAGAATAAATAACCGTAGTAAATACTGTACTTTGACTTTCAGCTGCAGTGGAAGATGTAATAGTAAAAATCTGTRGTACTTTCTATAACWGTGRTTCCCAAACTTTTTATCTTCTGACCCACAAAATATYCATGGCAAAAACTTGTGACCCCAAATATTACTGGTCTGAGTACACAAACTTTGTTAATAACCCTAAAAACACAGGCTTTTTGACAATCTAAACAGCTT